CTGCCGGGCAGTAGCTTAGACTCTACCTACACGACAACACCACACTACCCGAATGTATTCCCATTTATAAAATATATAAATTATGATTTGTTCGCTCCTAAAATACTAGAAAGAATATATATTAATGTATATAATTTCAAAATATCGCGGAAATATTAAATAGTATATGAGGAGAATCAATCGGCTACTGGAATTGCATCAATACGCATTTCTTAAACTAAATGAATAAATGTGAAAAAACTGACGTGATTGTGTAAAATAACGACGGAAAAAAAGTGAATTGCAAAGCCTAAAAATTTGAGTTTTATTTTTAATGTTGAAAAATACGCCATTTTGTGGTCTATTGTTGAGCCGACAAATCTGCGAATATTAAGTTGTTACGTCAGAAAAAAAATTAATAGAGCCATCATAATTTTGAAATAAATTTTCAATTAGTTGTAGTAGGGAAGAGCAAGAGGAAAGATTTTTTTTCTTTGGGATTTATTGGAACGGTGGTGGCTGTGGTAGACGAAAGTGCACCAACGGGAGACAACATTAGAAGAGAGAACCAGAGGGGAGCACTCATACTATTCCAACGATTGCTCCTCACTGTGACATTATTAAATGTGTGTGTGTTCATGAGGGAATTGGGGGAGAGGAGTGGTTTAGTTGTTGCCTTTCAACGTGAGATAGTTTTGCGAACACCAACGGGCAAACACCGGGGGATTAAAAAAATCTGAGCTTTGAACTTCCATCAGATGTGTAGATAAATAAATAAAAATTCATTATTGTAATTATTTATAAATTATTTTTGTAATAAAGAAAAAAACACAGGAAAAAGGATAAGAGGTTTATGGAGTTAATGAGTGATAACTTATGTTGGAGATTTTGAGTGATTTCGTGAAGTGTATTGAGTATTTTATTTTTTAAAATTTTCAGTGTTAGTTATAGTATTTTTCTAAGTGAAGTGAATTCAAGTTGTGAGAAAAATATTTCAAAGTGAAGACACACCCTTGAAGGATTTCACGTATCATTCCTTCCTTATCGCCCGATATCTGCATCCTCCCAGTGCTATAACCCTCCCCTTCTCCTCATCTTCGTCACTCACTTTATCCCATTCCGGGCGATCATCACGCCACAAGACTCTCCTCTACTGCAACGTGCGTTCCATTATTAAAAACTTTGAAAATCACAAAAACCCCGTGAAATATCATTTTTTACATGAAAAAATCCAACAGTGATCATCGAATGAAGCTCCACAAATCCAACAACAGTGAAGAACATCATAGTGATTATAAGTGCAGTGTTAAAAATCAAAAACCTTTCCGCCTCTAATCCCCACAAACATCAAATCAATTTATTGAACAATATCTTAAATTTATTTATCAGTAAATTTTTTCCATTAATTTTTATCACCTTTTTTTATTAACGCTTATAAAAATCAGATAAAAATTTCAAACATGTCGGTGAGAATGGAAAATGTCGCCGCACCGAGGAAACTCAACTACAAAATCATGGTGAGTGCAATCCTCTTCATGTAACATTAAACAATAAAAAATTGTAAAAAATAACTAGGTTGAAAATAATAACTGTTGAGAACAATTGAAAGATAAATATTGTCAGGCAAAATGGTTTGTCAATTCTTTTGGTGAATTTCACGGGCACGGGGTAAATGAGAAGAGACGTGCGAGTTTCGACGAGCGATAGATCGTTGGCAGCCGGCGTAGTTTGACAGCTTGCCGCGGGGTGTCCACAGTCCCACCCATTTACCTCTCCCTTCACTCCCTCTTCCCCCTCATTCTTATATTTCATATGCACATACCATACACCTTATAAAATTAAGGAAAAAGTCTATATTCAATATTGCCCCAGGCACTCACAAGCCATTCAAATAGGCTATTTCTTCTTCTTCAATTTTTGACACCTGTGATGGCAGGATGATGACAAGATGTTAGGCAAGCATGTTCTCTATTTACTTTTCATCCCTTATTCTTATCAATTTAACCAACAATTATTTTCATATATATCTGCATATAGTCCATCTGATTTTCATTCGTTCAAGGGAAGTCGCGGCAGAGGGGGTCATTTATTGACGAGGCTCGGATTAGGGGGAAGATACGTGGAGGATTGATCCAAAACGCTCGAGATGTGAGTGTCACGTGACCGTACAATTCACCGGGTATACTTTAGTTCGTTGACGTTTCAGCGTGTCTCATGTCTGTGAGAGAGGATCAGCCGAATGAATTTATATAGCGGTTAGGTGTACGGAAGGCTACGGGACAATTGATAATGATTTCATTATTTTTGCGACTAGATTCAAGAATTATCCGGCTGACTCATTGTTTTCAAATCCAAGGTATAAACAATGGACCTTTAGAAAAATATGGCAACACGATCTATGCATACCTCTGGAGTTACTAAAATTACCACCAATTATTAGAAAACGTTTTTTTTTTTGTGAATGATTTGGTGAGTCTAGATAAGGCTCTTGTGCATGATACCTTCCTGTGTTTCCCTATCATTTTCATTCCTATTTCTTTGTTCTTGAAGAGAGACGATGATACTGGGGGAATCCCCGACGACTTTATACTTGAAATACAAGTTATTGCCAAGATAAAATTTCATGAACAATTATAAGGATTGCTATTTATTATTTCTGTAGGACTGACAATGATTAAGGGGTGTTCTACCATATATCAGCAATGTAAATTTTGAATAAAAGTAAAATGGTTGGATGTGCATAAATGTGATCTTGTCATCGGATGAAAAAGAATTGATAAATTAAAACACAATTCCATTTAGAATATCACCATTTGGGGTATTCTAAAGCAGAGCATTGATAGATTTAATTTTTCATTGCAAAATTTCAATACGTAAAATGGTCTGAAACGTAGATGACATTTTCAGAAAATTTACACGTCTAAAATAGATGGCAGCCGAAGTTAAAAGGCTCATTTATTTCTTTTTTATTTTTTTCTTTACTTTGGTCATATATTGTTGAACAACGGATATACTTGGAAATGATTTCAATATTATGCCTATCTGAATAACATGAAAGACTCTCATTTAGATTATTTTATAAGTATATATAAAATAATAAATTCGCAAACAATGACTAAATGAATTAATTGATGAACACTAGCCATTTTATACACAATAAGATATTCCGCTGAATAACGTTTCTTCTCACTTAATTCTAAATCCATTAATTTCCAAAATATTCGCAAACAAATTTCCTCTTAATCATAATTTTTTTTACTCCTCTTCTTTCACCGCACGAGAAATGAATAAAATACAGAGCAATCTCTAATAAAATTTACCCTAATATTTAATAATAATGTAGCGTAGAGGTAGTTTAGAAATTTATACTAGAAAATGCAAGTGAAAAGAGCATAA